GTGAGCGTTGTTTGCTTTGTACTTCCATAGCATTCATAATGCTATACACAGGAACTGCTCACATATGGTTTGAAGGGGCAAGTCCGATAAAAGAGGGGTATTTAGAGGACTCTTCATTGTGGAACTGGGAAAACCTTAAAGCACAACCTATTTTTGCATAACGAAATTACCTACCCATGCGGGAACGTATTCGCTCTGGGTTGACAAAAATCCTTGTCCCCGTTCGGGAACACCGCGTGGATTGAGGGATTCTCAGCAGGGGGGAGGGGAGTCGTAGCTGGTCGCTGTAGGGAGAGTGGCGCATTTGCCTTCGTGGAAAATGTTTTCCATAGTTGCCTTTTGTCAGTTTTTCCTGTTTCACTTGCGCTTCCGCTATATACCCTCCCACCCCGCTCGACGGCAGTTGGGGAACAAGTGAAGAATTTTGGGAAAACCCCGGGAAAGTCGGATAATTAAGGGAGATGGTAGGTAGAACGGGTTATGAGCAAGGGGATGGAAAGAAATGGAATTTCGATAGTCCCATTTTTGTCTGGCGTTGTCCACTGAATGTGCCCCCTTAGCATATTTGAGCACGTTCTAGAGATTATTGAGCTTGTCCTGCGTGAATTGTTGTTTAATCTTCCTACAATTTTAGGTGTGGTGGCAAGTGGCATGCTAACCACGCTGGCGGTCCGGGGGTCATACCATGGATCGGCTCCCGCCCGCGCCAACCAGGCCGTCTACCCTCCGGGATTGGTAAATTGGTACTAGATTCGTCTGGGAGGATAAGAACACTGACTTGTACATCGGCTGGCCCCCGCAAGTCATTGTATAGGCCACATCGCATTCAATAAGCCACTACGATTCTGAATGGGGTCGAATGCGTGTCGCATCCCGTAAGAATTAAAGGCAGAGGCTTCGTCCTTCATTATCCTTTATCTTCCACTTGTCCAGACGAAATTCGAATTGAGTCGGGCAGCGGCCGCACAGCGTACGGGCGAGTTTTTTCAGGGTGGCCGCGGTTCTTCGATTTTGTGGCTGAAGCCCCCATTGAAACGAGTCGGCCTGCTCATTTAACATTCGCCAACTCCGTGAAGTGTCCAGCCTCGTTTTTCGCTTCGCTCCCCTTACGAGGTTTTCACCGGTTTCGTCTACAGAAATTCGTCAACTACCTGCTGACGAAGACCGGTTCCCTTTCATTCCACTTCACCGCAATTCCTTATGTTTATAGCGATATGTAATTAAATATTTATAATAGAAACATCGATCGATAGATTTGTGGCTTACTTTTAATGTAGCTGAATTGAGTGTCCTATTAGGCGACTAGTGTCCTAACATCCGGCTTCGTATGGAGGCTCTCCTACCTGACTTTGTTCCCCCGCTAATGACGTAATTGGCCGTCGCAGATGGGGCACTGACGCATACATTCCGACTTTTATAGCCGGGAAGTGGATAAGGACGTGCCAGTAGGGGAGCGGGAGGAGAGGGAGGTGGGGGTGGTAGTGATTTCAAGGAAAGACCAGACATTTTTCTAACAATATTCTGTAGTTAGGCCCTGAATGCACTAAGGTAAGCTTCTGTGAAACTAACTCGGGCCGACTGTAGCGTCCGGTTTGAAGGTGAGCAGAAGTCAGTGAGACATTTTTGCAGTCCAGAGAAATCCCCGCACCCTTCCATGGGCGGTCCGCCCCTGTCCAACCTGCCGAGGACATCCCCGTGGCTAGTGGAAATCACCAGAGTGGGCGGTGCTGGCATGCGTTAGCTGCCTGAACGATTCGTTGGCTGACGACAACGTGTGCGACGTTCGTCGAAGCATCGCATCAGCCTCGCCGACCACACCCTGATGTTGGAGAGCTGTGTTAGTTATTCATTGGACGGCAAACTCGCTTTCTCGCGATTCATTCCCAGTCCACCTCCCACCTTGCCAATCACGCCACCCATACCACAAATACCGTAACGTCCAGTCCACCTACATCACTTCCAACGCCACCATACATAGAATTTTCCAAAGAAATGGTCCTATTTGTCCTCTGAACAATTATGCCTGCTCAGTTCACGTGTGCTTGGTGTGCTGGTGATCATCGTCAGGAATCTACGAGCAAAAACTGTCGTGTCGACGAACCACGTGCTAGCGAAAGAAGTAGCTGGAGTTGGACGACATTCATCGACTGGCGACAAGTGTGCTGTATATCGTCGTGGCGAGAACTGAAACGTAGCGCCGAAATGCAAGGTTGCTGCTGTTGTGCACCATGCAAACCAAGGTTCGTTCGATTTTTTGAATACTTTCTATTTTTCTTTCCTGTTTTAGACTCGAACGGCGCAGTTTGGCGACAGGGGCGGGGGGCATTTTGCAATTCCGCTGTTTTACTGGTTACGATTTACGAGTCTCATTCTGAACAAACGTGTTAACTCTGGTGAAGCTGGAACAAGCTCGTCAAACCACCGCGGTATATGGTGTTTGCATGGTATTTCATGGCTTTGTAAGATTTGACAGGTGCTCTTTACAAGAGCGGACAGGTCAGGTAGTCTCTACAAACTTAGGCTGGTGTCGTTTCGTGGCTTCACAAGATTTCACAGGTCTTCACTGATGGTTCAACACGTTGATAGTAATCAGCAAAAGTGGAAAATGCTTCCCCCCCCCCTCCACGTCGCCGAACTGCGCCTTAATGGCCTGGGAGGGGGCATTTAAAGTTCCTCGTGCAAAACCGGCATTAAAGTTATCCAATACAATTGCCGTGCTTGGAATTGGTTCACTCACCTTGATCCATCTTCTTTTCTAAGCTTGCGCAGAACTCCTCGTCTTCATTACAGTAATTCTAATTTGCCTAAGGTTCCTTTAAATGTCCCTTCCGAGAATATGAGCGCTCTTTTTCAAAAATTCGAATTTTTTTTCTGAGTCGTGAAATTTTGAAATTATGGTATTTTCTAAACCTGAAGATCTTCTTCCTGGTTTTCGTGGAGTAGAACGTTACTGCCCTTGGTACTAGTACAGTTAGCATTTTTTAAAATGTCTCCTCCAAGATTTTCTTTCGTGATTTCTTTGAAGTGGAACATTCCTGCCCTTACTACCAGTAAATGTAGCTATTTCATTGATTTTATGCCACCTTGTGAAATTATTGTATACCATTGAATATTCATCAGTGAATCCCGTTGATTTGTTGATTTCTGTCATTACTTATTGATTTCATGGGCTATCGATTTTTCGGACCGACAAGGTTATTAAATTTTTTTCGTTTTGTTTTCGATCTGTCAAGTGCCTAAGTAATTTAAAGCTCTTAGTGGCAATTACGCTTTGGTATTAACCCCTCTTGGGCCCACTAGTCGACCCGACCTGTTTTGTGCCTTCATTATCCTTCAATCCGCAGTCGTTTTCTTTCCGATTTTCGATTTCCGACGGTACACTGCCTTGAGCCACGGAATTTCCGCACTATTTACCCACTATTTTGCGATTTCACAAGGGTTTACAGGAATTTACAATGACGTTTACAAGGTTTCGCAAAGATGCGGTGTGTTGACAGGAGTTAACCAAATTCCTCCTCTCCCTCCCTTCCGCGTAGTGGTGCTGTAGACCCTTGATAGAAGTTCCCAAGCGTTATTTTACGTACGTACGTAACTGTACTACGTAACGTAACTGTAGCTGTATAACTGCAGATTGATTACCTGCTGGAGTACTCAATGAAGATCCTGTCGTTCAGATGTTGGCGCTGGGTTGGCTAACTGGTCAGGACAGCGATGGCGACGCCAAGCTATCCCATCGATGACAAACGGCTGGCCCGTTTGGGTACAGCCTGGTGTAGCCTCAGCTTTCATGGGTAGATTGATATGAGTACTGTGGTACGGAGGAGGTGTAAGGGACTGCGGCTCCACACTCCCTCATCCTCCTCTGCACTTTCGTTTCAACGTTTTTCACTTATACACGCAAATGGTTTCGATTTTTCATTTTTTTCCCCTGGGTCGAGGCGGGTGGGGTTCGGGGAGTGATTGCAAACGAGTTAATAAATTCCATCTTTTCGTCATTATGTTGAGGTTTGTCATCTGGAATTGGCAAAATATTCATATTGCTCCTGTAAACGTATCAGGACCCTTGAAGGGGTGGCGTACTGTAACTACGTAATAAGCATTGGCGGATTTTGATGGGGAGGGGAGGGGGAGCGTTACCGCTCGAGCGATTCTGGTTGGCGCGATAAGATAAGGCTAGATGGAGAGCTGGAGGAGGTGGTGTAGTGGCAAGTGGGGCGCTGCTTACCACACCTTTAGTGCTGGGACACAATCCCACTTCGCTCCCGGCCAGGCCGCAAAACTCCCATCCCTATCATGCCGGTTCGGACTCGTTTTGTGAGCTTGAAAGGCACAGAATTGTGCATTGAATGGCCTCCTTAAGTCACTCGGAAGCTGCTGCGATTTTGAATGGAAGAAGGAAGCGTGGCTCGTGGCTCATCAAAAAAGGGTTGATCAACGCCAAAGGCATTAACTATCATCCTTTGAACAATGAAGCTCATGAGCAGCAAGGTGGGTTAAGCACAGTTTACAAATCGAAATTGTGGCACTCAAGTCACGCGGGTTCTTTCATTTTCCTGTTTCCTGTTTTCCGTCAGTATTTTTGTCATTTTTTCCGTCTTTTCTTTCCGCCTATGTCTTGGGCGCTTTCGCTTTTATTCATCCTTTATTAAGTTTCAGTTCTGGAGATCAGTGCTTGGATCACTTTACCTGTTTTATTCTGGTTTTCATACTGAAGTACACGCCCTGTTCAGCCTTTACTGCTCTATTTTTCAGAAATTAGTGTTATAATTTCTGTCTGGCAAGGATCTGGCTCGGGAGGATGGTTCACCCCTTGGTATAGCCAAAAGGGTCTTGAATCTACGATACAGACTCCGAAGTTAAAACACCTCCAGTCACCGATATAGCTAAAAACTTGTGGCCAGAAAGAGTTTTTGCCACCGAACTCTCTGAAATATTCTTCCCAGGGAAACTGTGGAGGCTCCTGTCTCTCTCTCTCTCTTTCTCTTTCTCTCTCTCTGAAGACTCTGAAAATGCTCGTGGTTTTGAGTGTAGTACAGTTCGCTGAACAACTTCCAACTGGTCTGATGAGACTTATACGCCAGGACTGCCATACGTTAAAAGATTTTTTTGCAGTTCGGCGAGAGAGGGGCATCAAATGGTACTCAACGAAACTTGTACATGCCACTTTCTAAATACGTGTGAACTCCTGTAACCTAAGCGGTTCACTTTATCATTTGTCACTAAGAGTTCAAGTGTGACCTGTCAGTGAACAAGAACTGGCGAAAAGGGCTAGCGAAAGTACAAGATGCATCCCCCCTGAGCCGTAGAGCGCTTAATTGTTTTGTTTTTTTCCCTCGTCAACGAACTTCACACAGGTTGTTTTTTTCTGAAAACGAGACTACTAGATATATAAAACCGTCCAGTTTCAGTCGTCCGCGTTTTTAAAATCGTTCCTTTTTTGAAAATCATATTGATTTTTGAAACATCTTTCTTTTATCAAAGTGCGTATCGATCCTGTAAAAGTCCATGTGGAATCTGAATAAATAGCGTTATTGTTGTTGCGCAATATTGACCAAATTGGGGATGTGGTTATTGGAACAGTTGAATTTAATAACGGGGCGAAGACGAGCTGAAAGAAGCTTAGCTGAGCGGGATCGCGCGAGGGATTTGTGAGACGTGGACATGTCCAGGGCTGGGCCAAGGGAGGGCAAAGACCTCAGGACCAAGAGTCTTCAGAGCGTGAGAAATCTGTAGAATTTGCAGAAGAAGTGCAGGATTTGGGTTATTTGACGCAGGACCTAAGCAGGTAGCTCATGAGTAACTATGGGTTGCATCATATAGTATATGTTATTAAATATTCATTTTTCTGTTATTTTTCATATTTTATTCTTTACCTACCCATCGACATATTTGTATATTCACTTGAGTCACTTTTATTCCAATTTTTTGGACAGATTAGTTAAGGGTACTACGCGGCGGCGGCGCAGTGAACTCGTTGTGGCTTTAGGAACCCCGGCGAGCGGGTCCTTTTCAGTCGGTGGAGGGAGCAGGGCCATAGTTCCTTTCAATAAAAAGGTCTTCGGTTGAGGTGGTTGATTTTTTTTCGGGTTTTCCTTTCTCTTTTGAGCTATTTATATATCCCTTTACGCTCGGTGAAGGGGTCGCGTGAGGAGATTTTTTTGACGGCAGTAAGGGGGGGGGGGTGCTGCGGAAAAATTCTCGCCAATGGTAGCACGTGCTGAAGTGTGCCACGGTTTGTCTGCATGTCTGCACCTTCTAAATAGGCAAAAAGCGGCGTACATTTTCATTTTAGAGCTTCAAAATGAGCATGAAGTGGCCTAGTCGTGATTCTGCATGACGTCTGAACCTCCTCCCCCCCATTTTTTGTATGTAATCAGCTGCAGAGCGGCTTCTGTAGGAAACGATTCGTCACTCGCCAGGGCTCGCTCGAGGGTACACCGTTATTTCTTTCTGCGCACTTACACCGTTATTTCTGCGCACTATCTACCTTTCCACACCATCCTTTGGAATTCGGACCTATTGATTTTGTCCACCGATACTTCGTCACGGGGTGTTATGGCCGCACATTTTTAGATACGAATATCACATCCACCTGAAGGGACCGTTTGGCGCCACCGCCTTCAGCACTCGTACCAGAAGTGGCGCAGTTCGACGGCAAAGAGGGGGGGGGGCAGTTAGGGAATTTCGCACTTTCGCTGCTTCTCGTTGTCGTGTTCATTGCTTTACAAGAGTTCACAGGTATTATTTGCAAGAGTAACAAGTAGTTTCAACAAACTTAGCAGCGGAGTGCAGAATGTCTCCCCCTCCTTCGTCGCCAAGCTGCGCCTCAGGTGGTTTCGTACTGAAAATCTGATACTTGTGTTCGAGAGATCAAACAACCCCTGGACAAGTTTTAGCGCCGGCGCCTGTGACGGGAGCGTCTGTGATTTTCGTGCCGATTTTCGCGGTCCATTGAGTCAAACTACCCAGGGACAAATCCTCTCCGACAGGAATCTGACCAAATCGGGCAAATAACTAGGGTTTCAAGGAATGAACTCTTACCGCTAGTCCTCAAAAATCCAAATAATCGCCACTGTTCTTCGAAAAATCAGCTTACCTGGAGGCAAAACAGGGTAGCATTGTTCCTTGTAAGCGCTCTCTGATGGCTGAATGCCAGTGGAATCACTCCTGTGGTTTTTATCCTATATGGAACATGGATGAATCATTATTTTGCAAAAGGATGACGAAATAGGATCGCATC